TATATACACTTTTTAAAATTTATAGTTTAGCATGTTATGATTTTGTTTTTATATTTGAGTCACATTTTGTACATTAAGTGTTAATATGCGTAATTTATGATTTTTAATTAAAATATACGTACATAATTTTTTGTATGTCACATTGTATGCTTTTTTTTAATTTTGTTTAATTAATTTTGGCATGACTTTTTTGGCATAATTTGTATGATACCCTTATGTGCATAACTCGACTTATAAATACATAACCGGACTAAGGGTAATACCCTTTTAATTTAAAATTGTCTTGAGCGACTTGTCTTAACTGATTAGAGAGTCGTTTTGACTATTTTAAATTAAAAACGTATCCCGGAAGTGAAACAAAAAAATTGATTCGTCACCTAAAATTAGGAAACGAAAGAAAAGGAAATGTTATTTTATTTAAATTTATCGAGAAAAGGTTGTTATAACTTTTAAGATCTGGTCTCGATATTTGTAAATAATCGAACATTCCTTATCTTTCTAAAACGACTCGGCAATTTTAATTTAATTTATTTGAGTGCTTTTGAATGTTTTTTTTAATTTATATCTTTGTTCTATGGGATCAAAAATCAAATTAAGTCTGAATTTGTAAAGTTCATTGCAAAGACGTTAATTAATCGACTAGGTACCGATTTAGGGCGTTGTGGGGGTGCTAATCCTTCCCCACACGTAACCGACTTCCGAACTCATTTTTTGGTAACGCAGACCTCAATTTGTTGTTTTAATTAAAACTATTTTTTTATTTTTATTTAAAATGACAACATTTTTGGGTGCCCAATCACACCTTAATCAAAGATTAGTGGCGACTCTTCGAACCGTATTTTTCGATCATAAAGAAAATCCAAAATTTTTCGAAACGAGAGGTCTTTTAAATCGCATTTGTTTTAAATTAAAAAGAGATAAATTAAAAATTAATGTGGTTTTCAAAATCTCATTTTTTTCACTCTTTATGAAAAAAATCGTTTCGACAATGATACTTATGAAAATTATTTAAAAATATAAATTTGATATATATATATATATATATATATATATTAAAAGATGGATGTTTGATTATTAGGAAATAGACATATGACAGAATACAATATTGTCATAAGCCTCTTAAAGGACCGTCCTACACTTAAGTGGAAGAAATAGAATTCTACGTATCAAAACCAAGAAGAAAAACAATCGAACAAAACAAGTCAAGAGGAAATCACACTAAACGCCGCAAAAACATTGGTAAGCCGTGAACCAATAGAAGTGCCACTGAAACTAAAGATTAATTTCCAAACACAGAGGAGAGATGAACCACCAACTAACTGCAGGGTATCCCTTCCTTTGCCACCATTTGCATTTCTGGGAACAACTTGTACCTTCCACCAATATTTTCAACATTGCTGATGGCAGAAAAAGCAATCGATGAAAGCAAGACGGGGCAGACTGTGGAGCGTTAATCCAAGAAACTACAGTATTACTGTCGATTCCATTGTAAGTCCAAATATAATAATTCTATTAATTATATGTTAAATATATTTTTTCTCTAAAGCTAGACAATATAACTATTAAAATATTTTTATAATTTTTTATTTAAACATTTATAATTTAATATCAAAGTTTAACTTGATGAAAAGACATAAATCATAAAAATAGTTTAATAAAATATGTATCTAAGTAATCTTATTTTCAAAATAATATGATATTTTCAAAGTAATATAATATTTTAATATTCTTATTCTTTAAGTTAATCTTATATTCCATGAACTATCGATTCCAAAAAAAAAATCATTTCTCAACCCTTGAAAGCACTGTGTATAACAAAAGAAACTATTTTTCAAATTAACTCCAGCAATTAAGTTTTTTTATTATTTGGAATACATTAATGTTTATATTAGTCAAGAAATAATAAAAATAATGTAAATAATGGATATGACAGTGATATGAACCAATAAAGGACCGACCATGATCCATATTTATCAAGATCGATGCCCTTTATTGACCGATTGTGACCAAATGAATGGAATAGTGGACTAGTTTTCTATTTAACTCTTAACACATTAATTTTATATGGCCATCCAACTTCATCGTTTATCCATAAATTCATAGTAATTTATAATTGATGGATATGATATTATTAATAATATATATATATTATTAATACTATATTTTTAAAAGTTAAGTTATATATTCAATTTAATAAATTTAGTTTTATACAATTTTTTAATTTAAATTAATAAGAATGAGTTGAATTATTATTTAACAAAAAAAAACATTTGAATAGTTTAATAGAATGATTATGATTATATTTTGTACTAACATAACTTAATTTGATTAAAAAAATTAATAACTAACAAAATATATACTCTCAAATGTTAAAATTTTATTTTAGAGATGATATTATTAGGATGAGAGTGACTTAAATGTAAACGTGAATTTTTCATCTCTAAAATTTAAATCTCTAAAATAAATATTAGTTCATTTTTTTCCTAAAAGAATAGTCTGCTGTTTCTAAAAGAAATCTTTTTCTAAATTATATTTGCTTTTAGAAACAACAGACTATTTTTTTTTAGAAAAAAAAATGAACTAATATTTATTTTCTAAAAGAAAAGAGATAGTTTTTGAATTTTTAAACTTATGGGATTTTAAAAATTTCACGACACTATTAAAATTAAACATATTAATTAATTGAGTTGGATTAAATCTAATTTAATTTTTTCATTCAAATCAATTTTAATTTAACAGTAAATTAATATTCACGACATGCTTAAAATTTATAGTAAACCTTTTTTTTATTAAATATAATAGTTAAATATCAGATAATAATTCAATTTATCAGAATTAATTTTACCAAATTAAAATAAATGTTAACATAAAATGAATTATTATATGATGTATTATTAGTTCAAAAGGCAAAAAACCAAGTTGGTGGAATCTTTGTTCATCCACGTCGAGGGCGGCGGACCAGGACAATAAATTTTTGTTTGGCCGGTTTGGTTGAGGTTGTTGTTTTTATTTAACACTTCACAGAAAGAAAAATAATGAGCGGCTGTTTTAATTCTTTTAATAAACGATAACTCTTATTTATAATTTAATGTATTAATTATTTTTCTTATTTATTCTATAAATATGAAAACTTATTAATATTTTAAAAATTACTCTAATGAATCATTTATCCATAAATTATAGATACATTACGGAGTTATGTTATAAGATTTTTAAAAAAAAATTTATAAATTAGTCTAATAATTTAAGTCCTTAATATAAAGAAAAAAAATATAGTTTTGAGACTTTTTTTTATTCAAGTATACTTTTATCTCATATCTAAAAGTACAAAATTCAAAAAAGAAACAATTCACCTCAAAAACTACAAAAACAATGCTAATAATGGAGGCATTGAATTAACCATGTCCCGTCACTGTTCTTTTCGTGGACATTTCAATTTCAATTGAATTCCTTTACAACTCTAGGCTGGAAGTTCAGTTTGAATTGATCAATTCTACGTTTAAAAATTATAGATTCGATTCTAAAGTCTATGTTATTTGATCGCATCCAATGAATTAACTCTGATCTATTATATAAACTTATTTTCATAAGGTAATCCATTAAATAACCTAAAAATTAATTTAATTGAATAAGTTAAGATTATAAAAACAAGAAAGTTGTATGAACTAACTACTTCAATAGTTAAAGAAGGATTGTTATCCTTAAAAATCTCAGATTCGAGCACTAACAAATATTTTTAAATATTTATTATCAAATAAATTAAAATATTTAAATATATATATATATATATAATATATTCATAAAAGTAATAATTATTGAAAGTTAATATTTAAGTGAGACAGATTACTGGGGCACTCATGATGGGACCTCACCAAAGTACCCCAATTATGACTATTTTATATGATAAGACAATTATATTTAACATAATTAGAAGATTCCCCTATTCTTTTGTTCAGATAAGTAATCCATCTTTGAAAATTCTTTTAAAAAATACCATTAATTACTTTCAAAGAATTAATCATGAAAGTTACTGCCTTGCAACCACTTTGATTGTGAAATTTTTTCTTACTGTCTAACTATATCCCCATTTTTACAATCAAAGTTACACAAGAAAATGACATCTTTCATTGTTTCCGGTAGGTAAATTAGGGTAAACCTTCATTTCAATATTATGCTTAATACGGAGGCAATTCATTTTAGATTTTTTCGTTTCAGGAGGTTGCAATCTCATAACAGAAAAAATAAACATTAATTTTGAATTCTAACTTTTTGTATAATTTTTTAGTTTAACCGATAGTATTTGATACGTTGACCGATTCATCCAAATCAATTACAAAAGTTGAGAGCGGTTCTTTTAACCTAATTTATTACATTTATAATATTAAGATTCAAACCTCTGAACTTACTTAAAAGATCTAATATTTTATCTTATTAAACTGATTAATTGTTCGTAATTTTTAGTCTAATTTTAGTATTCTAAAAGACCCTCTTTTTTTGGTTGCACGGTCGAGTTTGTAAAGCAAAAAGGACATTTTTAAGAGAACCTAAAGATCACAAATCTAAGGTTAATTAAGAAGGAAAAGGTGTTGGAACCCCCCAACAGACAGAAGCCTTAAGAAACTGTCAAAAGGTTTTGTCTGAAACTGGAAACATGTAAACAAAATTCTCACATTCTAAAATCAAACTTGATCTTAAACCGAAAGAGAATATATTTTTGCATTATCAACAAAGCTGTATCAGCCATCACAAGCCATGTGAGTGACTAATCAGTAGGTCCAATGGCCAACTCAGCATCTATATCAGCAAATTCCAAGTTGCATTTGTCAGCTTATAAGCCTTTACCTTGAACAGTATGCCTCTCTATCAGAAGATCAATTTATATGCGTATACATATATATGTACATGTATATATAAGCAATCATCCAGCATTTCATGGTTATGAATGCTTAAAATCATAGGTAGTTTTCTTTAGTATTCTCGAACTCGAAATTCGATTATTCTTCTGCAAGAAAAAAATGGCAACTGAAGCAGTGATCATTCAAGAACCCGTTTCTATGGCGGTAAAGTTTTTCTTTTATCTTCTATGCATCATAGTTTATGAATGTTTAGAAATCGTAGACAGTTTCTCTAGTGTTCTTCAACTCAAATTCGATTACTTCTGCAGGAAAAAATCACAACCGAAGCAGTGATCATTCAAGAACCTATTTCCATGCTGGTAAAGTTCTTTCATCTTGCATGATCCACACTTAAAGAATGTTCAAACTCATGGGAAATTTTCGTTAGTGTTACTGAACTCGAATACCGTAACTCCTGCAGGAAAAAATGGCAACTGAGGCAGTGATAATTGCAGAACCCATTTCCATGGTGGTATAATTCTTTCATCTGACATAATATGCTTGATGTTTATTCTCCATGTCTTCCAGTAATTGTTGATTGATGATCAGTTTGATCTTTAAAATCACAATTTTTTTCAAGTTTTGGATGGTCATGAAAAACATAAAACTGGATGATCTCTGAGATCTTTCTTTATCCATTAATATATGTTGAGTGATGAAGAATTACTACCTTTTGATCAGCTTAAAAGACTGTAACAAGCTTATATTTTTAGATCCGAGTAGCACTACGAGGTATTATAGTCTTTAGATCTGTATCAAATTAGTTGGTCCCAATACAAGGAAAATATGGAATACAAATTTAACACAACACATCCGTACTCGACATATAACTCGAGTCAAGTTTGGTAATTTTATTTTACTTCCCAGAACTAGGCTAAGATAGGTACCTAACACTAACTATTCGGATTCGGATATTCGTTCAGTATTCATGTTATGATTTTATAAATTTCTTTGACATGTTAATAATTCGTGTTCAAAATTGGCAAGTGTTATCAACAGCCAATAGCTTCAATATCACTATTATTTGAAAGTCCTTTTGAAGAATAGTTCAAATGAAAGGGGGAAAAAATCCAAGAAATGGATAAGCTTACCGAATTTAATGATGTTACCAAAATTGATTCTTCCAGATAATAAAAATAACGGGTTTCTACCATGTCGTTGCAAATAACTCTTTTTATTATCAACAAATAAAAGAAAAAACTATTTTTTGTTCATGCAGAAAACAGAAGAGGAGGGCAAGCAGTTGACCCTGGAAGTCTCGACGAGTAATAATGGCATCGAAACGCCAGATTTTGTCGATGAAGGCAATCATGGAATCGCCAAGGGTGAAAGTGTTTCTATGTCACCTGAGATTTCCAAGGTTGCCAGTGAGACCTGTGGAATGTTAGATCACATTGAGGTTGTTAGTACTCCATTTAAAGCAGAGAAGAGACCAGAGGATGAAGTAAAGATGGTGGTTTGGATCGAGGAAGAAGTTGGAATTGAAATGGGCGACACAGCTGATGGTGGCGAAGAACTCAAGAAACAAGCTTCAATGGATTCTCATGAGGCAACAGTTGAAAGCTTGAAGGATGCTAAAGAAACAGTTACTGGGGCCAGTTGCATTGATCAAGTTAATGAAGTTGAAGACACCAAACCGGAGAAGCTGCCAGCCGAAGAAGGAAAGGATCAAATCGTTTTCGATAGCCTCGGAGAGACCTTAACTGAAACGGTAGCTGAAAGCGAGGAAATTGCTTGTATGGATGAACCTGGAGTCGATGAAAAGGTTGAAGAAGTCTCCAATGAAGTGATCAAATGCACCAATGGAGAAAATGATGGCCTAGAAGGTAAGAATTCCATCACGCAAGCCCCTGATTTTGGGATTATTGAAACTGTGGAAGTAGAGATTTCAAACAAGAATGCTGATGATTCACATGTTACAGATTCATCAGTTGGACAACCAGTGGAAAACGAGCACGAAAAGCCACATGAGTTCTCCGGCGTTCTACCCGAAAAACAAGGTAATGAAGCAGTTGGTGAATCTGAGAAGGAAGAAGATAGTGAAGATGTCTCCGAAGCAAGCCAAAGCAGAGATAGCACAAATCCGGATCATATATTCACAGCAGCAGCAGCAATAATAGATTTGAAACCGGAAACTAGTCAAACGCATGAGGAGATTGTAAAAGAGGTTTACGTCGTGGACACTGAAAAATGTTCACAACGCAATGAAGTTTTAGAATACAAAGAAGAGGATTTAGAAGATTATAAAACGGAGACGATGGATGAGAAATCTGAAGAAGAGAATACTGCAGCCACAATGTCCATAAAAGAGGTAACTTATATGACCCACTGATCTTTGAACTTCTCACTTGTTCAGAATTTCCGAACTATTTGCACACGCATGCACACCATAACATAAGGGCAGACCTGGACTGTCTTAAACCAGATCGAAACGAGTGTGCATTAGAGAAGATTTTTGCTCTGTCTTGCGTCAAGTTCAGTCTTGTTTAATCTGATATGTTACTTTCCAGTACTTTGTCATGGTTGAGTTGAAATTGTGTTTTTTCACGCAGGTCCATGAAGAATACGAAATAACAGCTACATGTAATGTGAAAGAAAATCCAGAAACGAAGGAATATCCGATAACCGACATCACCAACTCGCCAATTAGTGATAAAACTGTGAAAGAAAGCATGAAAGAAGGTGAAAGCAAGCCGATGAAGTCAACCGAAGAGGTCAGTTATTAATGGAAGTTGATTATGTCTGACAACTATTTCCTTTCCAACTGTCATTCGTTGTTGAACTTATGGACTCAATTCTTTTGCAGGATATCAACTCGAACATTGAAGAAATGCACTCTATAGAGGAAACAGAAAAGCCAGATAATGATCATAGTCCTAATGATCATAGTCCTTCCAACGCAAAGGAGTCAAAAGAAGAAATAATACCAATTGAAGGGAAAGTAGACCATGTCCATAGCTCATTGATTGAGCTTGAGGAGTTAGTGAAGGACTCTGAAAAAGAAACAAATGTAAATGAAGATGAAGCAGAAGCAGAAGCAGAAGGGGAAAAGAATGAGATACATAACATCGTTACCGTTGAAGAGATCGGCAAGGCAACAACTGAACATAAAGGAATCGATGTAAACAGTGCCAACATTGATGTGAATTCAACGGACTCCGTCGTAACATGCGATAAGAACTTGGAAATTTCCGAACCCCAAAAAGATGATGGAATGCAGGATGAAGTTCCTAATTCAGGAAGACAAGATAATGTAGAGCTGAACAACAAGGAGATTCAGTTGGAAGAAGTTCCGTTAGACGAAGTTAAGGAACACTCTACCATGCCATCAGAAGAATACAAGTCCACACCCATCGAAGAGAGGAAAATAACTGATGAGACTTCGGAGAAAGATCAGGATCTGTATGAACACTTGGAAAAGGTTGCAGTGGACGTGAAAGTTGTACTGGACACAGACAAGGAGCTGCCAATGGAAACGGAGGTATTAGATGAAATGAAAAGGGATGAGGAATCTAATGTTCCCATGCCTGAAGGAATCATTATCAAATCAGAAAATGTCGATTTAGTACGGCAGAGTCAGGAAGAAATATCGAAGGAAGAAAACCTGGAGAGCTTCCAGCAAAAGAATGAACCAGAAAAGGAGAAGCCTGTATGTCCTTTGAACGTAGTTTCTGAGTATGTCAACACTGCCATCTCTGGTGAAACTGTAGAAGCTGAGATTTCAAACAAGAATGCTGATGATATACATGTTACTGATTCATCAATTGGACAACTAGAAGAAAATGAGCATGAAAAGCAGCATGAGTTCTCTGATGTTGAATCCGAAGAACAAGTCCATGCATCCAAGGAAAAGGAAGAAGATAGTGATGATGTCTCCAAGGCATGTCAAAGCCGCGATAGAACAAATCCAGAGCATACACTCCCAGATGCAGCAACAACAACGAATTTGAAACCCAAAACAAACAAAATGGACAACAAAAACACGATGTTCGTAAAAGAGGTTTATCTATTGGACTCCCAAAACTTTGCAGAGACCAATGAAGCTTTAGAGAACAAACAAGAGGGGATACAAGAAGAATTAGGAGATTGTGCTGCAGATGCCACAGAGAACATAGAAGAGGTATAGTTCTTGAGAATACCAACTCAATTTCAATCTTTTCGTTAAAAGCATGTGAAAAAAAAGGAGAGATCATCTGTAATTGTTCATAAAAGTGCAACTTGTTCTTCATGCAGGTTCATGACGGTCCAAAGGAAGAATGTGCAATCATAGATGACTCACTGAAATCCATTAAAGGAGGAGAAAAAGAAGAGATACCTGATGTAAAGGTGAGGTTCAGACATTAAAAATTTTGTGGCCTTGTTCTTGAGGTTAAGTTGAAAGCTGAAAACTTCATGTTTAACTGGTCTTTCGATATATTTTCCATTTTCATTCAGGTCTGCAGAAAGCTGGAAACAAATGATACTGTTGAAAATGCTGAAAAACAAGTTCTAGAGGAAGATAACAAAGATCAGACTACACCGAAAAGGGTAAGAAAATTATATGACTCGTTCGGAATTTCCGACCTCGAACTTCCATTGAAAGACATGAAATAACCAATCAGTATTAGCACGCCCATGCACACCCATAACATAAGAGAATACCTGGTCTGTCTTATACGACATCAAAACAGCTGTGCATTAACAAAGTTTTTTGCTTTATCCTGGTTCAAGTTTGGTCTTGTTTAATCTGATCTGTTACCTTCTAGTACTTTGTCATGGTTAAGTTGAAATTGTGTTTTTTTAATGCAGGTCCATAAAGTATACGAAATAACAGCTTCAGGTACTATGAAAGAAAGTCCAGAAACGAAGGAATATCTGATAGCTGACATCACCAACTCATCAACTAGTGTTAAAACTGTGAAAGAAAGCATGAAAGAAGTTGAAAGTAGTTCAATGAAGTTCACCGAAGAGGTCAGCTATTAAAAGAAGTTGATTATTCCAAAAGTTATTCTCCTTTCGAACCATTATTCATCGTCAACTTACAAACTCAATTATTTTACAGGTTGGCAATTCAAACGTTGAAGAAACAGACTGTATAATGGAGGAAACCACAGAGCCAGATAACAATCCTAGTCCTTCCAATGGAAAAGAGTCGAAAGAAGAAACAATACCAATTGAAGTGAAGGAAGACTATGTCCATAGCTCATTGATTGAGCTTGAGGAGTCTGGGAAGGACTCTGAAAAAGAAACAAATGTAAATGAAGATAAAGCAGAAGCAGAAGGGGAAAAGAATGAGATACATAACATCATTACTGTTGAAGAGATCGGCAAGGCAACAACTGAACATAAAGGGGTCAATGTAAACAGTTCCAACATTGAAGTGAATTCAATGGACTCCTCTATAACATGCAATAAGAACTTGGAGATTTCCGAACCCCAAAAAGATGATGGAATGCAGGATGAAGTTCCTAATTCAGGAAGACAAGATAATGTAGAGCCGAACAAAAAGGAGATTCAGTTGGAAAAAGTTCTGGTAGACGAAGTTAAGGAACACTCTACCATCCCTCCAGAAGAATACAAGGCCACACCCATCGAAGAGAGGAAAATAACTGATGAGACTTCGGAGAAAGATCAGGATCTGTACGAGCACTTGGAAAAGGTTGCAGTGGATGTGAAAGTTGTACTGGACACAGACAAGGAGCTGCCAATGGAAACAGAGGTATTAGATGAAATGAAAAGGGATGAGGAATCTAATGTTCTGATGCCTGAAGGAAGCATTATCGATGCAGAAAATGTCGATTTAGTACAGGAGAGTCAGGAAGAAATCCTGGAGAGCTTCCAGCAAAAGAATGAACCAGAAAAGGAGAAGCATGTATGTCCTTTGAACGTAGTTTCTGAGATGGTCAATACTACCATCTCGGGTGAAAGTGTAGAAACAAGCACAAATATCGAAGAAGCAACATCAATTGCAGACCTTGAAGAGAGATCTGAGGGAGAAGGGAGGGAAGACTCACCAACCGACCACATGCAAATTGAAGTTAATGAAAGTATCAAAACTGTGGAAGCTGAGATTTCAAACAAGAATGCTGATGATATACATGTTGCTGATTCATCAATTGGACAACTAGAAGAAAATGAGCATGAAAAGCAGCATGAGTTCTATGATGTTCAACCCAAAGAACAAATCCATGAAGCAATCGGTGCATCCAAGGAAAAGGAAGAAGATAGTGATGATGTCTCTAAGGCTTGTCAAAGCCGAGATATGTGCTATCCAGAGCATATATTCCCAGAACCAGTGGAAAATAAACCTTTAGAGAACAAAGGAGAGGAGATACTGCAGGAGTTGGAAGATTTCGACACAGAGAAACCTGAACCAATGGATGCCATGGAGAACGTAGAAGATAATTTAAAACAGGAAGAAACAAATGAGGTCTAAATTTAGAGCATGAATGATTTCTAACTTGGTTTCAATCTTCTCTGAAAATTTTTTTAAACTCTTTCAGATTATTGTAATTGTTAATACTTGTACACCTTATTCATCATGCAGGTTCATGAAGGTCCAACGTTGATCACAATGGAAGAATGTGCTGTCACAGATGACTCACTGAAATCACCTGAAGTTGAGGTAAGGTTCAGACAACTTAAATTTTTTTTGAAGAGCCTCGTTCTTGAGATTATGTTGAAAGCTTAAAACCTCCATGATTGACCGGTCTTTCAATATATTTTTTGTTCAGGTCTGTGAAAAGATGGAACTGGATGAAACAGTTGAGATTGCTGAAAAACAGATTCTAGATGAGGAAGATAACGAGGGTGAGACAACACTAATTGAACATATGATGAAAGAAAAAGCAAAAGAAGATAATACTGCAGCAATGGTGTCCATAATAGAGGTAGGGACATTATGACTCAATAATATTTAACCTTTTGCACTTATGATTCTGAGCTCGATCTTCCATCAACTTATACATTCAATTGTTTTACAGGCTAGTAACTCGGTCATTGAGGAAATGGACTCTATAGAAGAAACAGCAAAGTCAAATAATGATCCTAATCTGTTTGATATTGTAAAGGAGTCTAAAGAAGAAATAACACCAATCAAAGTGGATGACAGCGTCTGTAGTTCTTCATTTGAGCTCGAAGAGTCCAAAAATGACACTGAAGAGGAAACCCAAATATCATGTGCTGCAGAAACAGAAGAAACAAACATAAAGGGAGCTGAAGCAGATGAAGAAAAGAATGAAAGAAATAATGTTGTTGTTGTCAAAGAGAGGAGCCTAGAAACAACTCAACTTGAAGGGATCGGTGTATACAGTGCTGAAATGAATGTGAAATCAACAACTGAGAAGGACACAGAAATTCCTCGAGAAATAGATGCAGTTCAGGACAAAGTTCCACATGGAGGAAGTGAGGATCGATCATTTATGAATGAAGAGGAGATTCCTTTGAAAGAAATATTAGGATATGAAGTGAAGGAATATGAGCCCACATTCATTGAAGAAAGGAAAATATCTGCTGAAACTTCGGAAAAATATCGGGATCTGTATGAGCACTCCGAAATTCTGCTGTCTCAAGAAACAGATGAGAAGTTAATGCAAAATGAGCATAATCCACAATTAGATGTCCCTAAAGTAGAGCCTGAAGATACTGGAAATGAGAGCAGACATGAAGTCAAGGAACAGTTGGTGAAGGAACCTAATGTTGAGGTCACCAATATCTCTACTGGGGAAGAACATAGCGAACAGAACAATCAAACAAATTCTTCCAAAGCAAAAACTCTGCAAGATGAAAAATCATCAGATTTAAAACTGAAAACACAGCAAAATGAAGATGGAAAGCCGTTAGACGAAGCCACGGATTTGGGAGAAACCGTGGGTACATGTAATGATGATAAAAATGTTATCAAAGAAGAGAATTTAGCTAAGAGCTTGGAAGAAACAGAAAGCTTGAAGGAAGATAGTGAAATAGGAAAAGTTCAAATTCCTGGGGTGATTATCATGAATGATAATGCAAAGGTTAGCGAATAATTACTCTTTTCATTTCTTTAATCTTCTGAAGAAACAAAATCAAATTAAAGATGTGAAAACAGATAACAGTTCAATTTGATCATTTTCATTGTTCAATCATGCAAGAGATTCAATCTTATAAGCAACCTTGCTTTCTATGTCTCAAATGGATGTATTGTCAGGAGGAAGACTACAACTCGGTAAATGAATGTCTCAACGAAGCCGAGTCCAAAGAGAAGATAGTAGCAGAAAACTTGGAGGTCGAAGATGATTCAACCAATGACGGAGAAGCATCCCACATCATCAAAGAATTAGAAGAAACGAGACAGGATGAAGAATCCGGAGATCCTGTAAGTGTGCACAGTGAAGATCGAGAAGCAGAAAATAAAACTGAGATTATCCATTACTCGAAACAGTGTCATGAAGCGAGTTGTATTGAAGCTGTAACAGAAGTAAGAGCAGAGACGAGCTTAAACGATGCAGACGAGAATTCAAAAGCATTGAATATCCGCTCAGTCGAGACAAATCCAGAAATTGTTGAGAGTGATGCTAATCAAGAGACTGAAGTAGAGAATGTACAGCTTGAAGAGATACCCTCTGGATTTGATCCTGATGTCCAAACTAATGACAATGATGATGTGCAAAATCAGAATCTTAATGTGGAAACTTCAGACAAGGATGAAGCTGAGGTAATCAAAAGAGCTCCCGATGCATTTCATACGCCTGAAGTTCAGATTGATGAAGCTGACAAAGGCCTAATAGCAGAAACGGCGGATGAACTAAACATGGATCATGAGCTTGTAGAGACAAAAAGTGAAGCCTCCAAAACTTCAAACACTGATGGACTGGGGAAAATTGATGACATTGGTCCTCCTAATACTGTTTTAGAAGTGAAACCCAACGAGCAAATCCAAACTTCAGTTTGCACATTGCTTTCTGAGGATGAAGAGATCAGAATTGAAAACCCAGTTGAGAAAATTGAAGAAGAGACACAGAAGGATGCTGAAACAGAACATGAGAGTGAAGAAGATTCTTCTGAAACAAAGACGATAGAAGAGGCATGCTTGTCAAATGAAGAACAAAGAGAGCTTAAAGCAGTCTCAGAAGAAGAAACTATTTCCGACCAGGGCCCTCTAAATGATGAACCAGAGGAGCAAATTCAAACTGCATCTTCGACATTGCCTTCTGAGGAAAGTGAGCATGGAACTGGAGCCACAAGTGAGGAGATAAAATATGGCATAACAAAGGAAGAAGAACAAACAAAGCTAGATGCTGCTATAGGAGATGAAGTAACTGGTGAGCAGATTATCTCAGATGATCAATCAGAGGAGCGGACTACCAGCCCTACATTGGTTTCAAGGGAAAAGGATGAAGAAAATATATGCACAGTTGAAGAAAAGATTTCAGAAAGTTCTGCTGCTGAGGAGACAGCAATGGAGCTATCCCTACAGAAAGAAGAGCTGCTTGAGCTTGATGATGCTAAAAAGGATGCTGTCGAAAAAGATGAGAAAACAATAGAAGAGGAAGTTATAAAAGATGAGATTGAAGAAGATGCCAAGGATACAAAGACAAGATTAGCGATATGCTCACAAATGGAAAGGTCTGTTGAACTAGAAGTGGTTGGAGAAGATGAAACGACAGGTGTTGAGACTCTTGCTGAAAAGATATCAGACGAACAAGTTCTGAATCTGACCACTGCATCAAAAGAAGAAGAATGTGAAAGTACAATATCATTTGAGATGATAGAAAGTGAGAGAAAACCAGATGAAGATGCATCCTTGCAAAAGGACAGGCTTCGAGAGGATGAAGCACTTGCAGTAGATGACGAAGCTTCTTCTCAGGTGATCCTAAGAGAGAAACCCGACGATCTTCCAGATCCTGTTGATACATTGCCAACAAATCAGTTTCATCCTACAACCACTACATTTCCATCTGAGGTCCAAGGAGATGAAAGGAAGGAAATCGAATTGGAAGAAGAAGAAGAGAGTACTGAAAAGATTCCAGAACAAACACAGGAGATTGAGGAAGCTTCGGATTTCAGTACAGAGATACATGAAAAGGCTTTCGAATCTGAATCTGCACAATTGGCTGAAGACCAGAGTGAGGAAACATTCCCTGAATCCAGCAAGAGCCAAGATGACAAAACCAGCATTGATGTTCAGAATCAAGAAACTGAAGAACAGATAAAAGAGGAACTGAAAGACAAACCGGAGGATGAACAAATTATTAACAGAGACCAAAACGCATATAAGACCGAGGCTGTCATTTTGTCTGAAGAGGTAAAGGACATATAAATATTTTTCCTACATCGTTATTTAAGGGGATTTAATTATGTTAATTGAAAATATTCATTTTTGAAAGGTTGATAAGGAAGTTGAGAAAGCCGAGAGTTGTGAAGGCATTGAAGAATATGTCATGGAGAAAGAAAGTAGCACAGATGAAATTCATCCGGTAACAAACGGAGACGAAGAAATTAATGAGGTCATATCATTAGTTCATAATGAGTAGTTATGTTGAAATAGTTGTCTCTGTGTATCAAAATCTCAACAACTTTATCTATGTATTTATAGGTGGAAGTCTACAGTGCAGTCTCAACTCAGTGTATCCAGGAAGCCAAGTCCAAAGAGACTGAAGAAGTGGAGAAGGTGCAGCTAGAAGAAATATCCTTCAACTTGGCACCCGAAGTCTCAACTAACAACAATGATGAAGAGGTAACCAAGAGAGATGCCGATGAGGTTTACACAGCTAAAGATCAGACTGCTGAAGCTGAGAATGGCCTAAGCATGCAAAATGTGGATCAATTAGACCAGGATCATGAGCTCATAGGGACAAAGTGTGAACCCTCCAAGAAAAGCCTAACAGCAGAACTGGAAGCTGATAACGTTGATGAAACAGGAGTACCAGAAACATCCCCAGATTACACATCTCAAAGAATTGAAACTATTCTCAAAGATGAAGACAGTTCAACTAATACTTTTCTAGGAGAGAAATCGGAGGAGAAACTTCAAAGTTCTACCCACACATTGCTTTGTGAGGATGAAGAGATCGGAACTGCACACCGAATTGAAAAGATTGAAGAAGAGATACAGAATGATGCAGGAATAGAACACGAGAGTAGAGAGGATTCTTCTTACAGAAAGTTAGTAGAAGAGGCATGCTTGCTGAATGAAGAACAAAGAGAGCTTAAAACAGTCTCAGAAGAAGAAATTATTGCTGGCCTTCAAAATGATGAACCCGAAGCAGTGTTGGAAGGTGAAACAAATAATAGTCGGCATATAGCAGAGGAATCAGAGGAGCATGGACCAATTACGGAAGAAATAAAAGAATCAGAATCATTTGAAGATGAAAAAAATCCACAATCAGAGTGCACAAGGGAGCTTCATGGTGCCTTGGAAGTTGGAGCAACTGCAGTTCATATTCTCCCAGATGAGACGTCAGCAGATAACCTTCATGCTACAGCCTCTACACTGCCTTCTGAGGTCCAAGAAAAAGAAACAACAGAAACAGAATTGAAAGAAGACGAGAGTCCCAAGAAGATCCAGGAACAAACAGGAGAAATGGAGGAAACCTCAAATCTCAACAAGACATGTAAAAAGCCTTTTGAATTACTCAGTGAAACCGATGATGCTGCAAACGAAAAGATAATTATCATAGCGAAAGATGAGACAGGAGGTGAAGGATATAAGTGCGAAAAAACAGAAGAAGGAAATGAAATCAAAGCAAATGAAGATTCAAAAGAAGAGGTAAATAAAACCAGCCCATACCATTAATAGTTTCATATTACCATTCAATTGTTGCAAATAATGTCCAACCTTATCTAATTGTTCATATCACCATTCAATTTGTTCTCCTCGTTTAAGTAGCGTATTTCTTGATCCCTCAACTAATGTATCAATTTCAAACAGAATGTAGCAATACCAGGTTTCGAAGAAAAGCCAAAATCCGAAACAGAATCAGTGATGGAAGACCAGCGCAAGGGAGTAATCCCTGAAAACACCAAGAGCCGAGATTATGCAACTAGCCTTGATGTTCCAAATCAAGAAACTGAAGAACAGATCAAAGAGGAACTGAAAGACAAACTAGAGGATGAAGACAGTATTAACAGAGAAGAAAATATGAATGAGGTTACCAAGGCTGTCATTTTGTCTGAAGAGGTAAAGAACACTTGGAAATCTTTTCCCTGCATGATTATTTAAGCAGATTTCTTTATGTTAATTGAAAAATATTCATTTTTGGAAGGTTGATAAGGAAGTTGAGAAAGCTGATGGTAGTGAAGACATTAAAGAAAATTTCATGGATAAAGAAAGTAGCACAAATGAAATTCATCCAGTATTGAACGCAGATGAACCAACTAACGAGGTCATAATAGTAGTTCATAATTAATAGTTATATTCAAATGGCTCTTTTTATATGTCAAATGCTCAATCGTTTAACTATGTATTTACAGGTGGAAGACTACAGTGCAGTCTCAGCCGAATGTATCCAGCAAGCCGAGTCCGAAGAGCAGATACAAGCAGAAAACTCAGAGGTTGAAGAAAATTCAACTAATGACAAAGTAGGATTACACATTACGAAAGAACTGGATGAAAGGAAACAGGATGAGAAGTCCGTAGACCCTGTAAATGTGCACGGTGAAGATAGAGAAGCAGAAGAGAAAGTTGAGATTATCGAATACTTGAAACTAGGTTATGGAGAGAGTAATAGTGAAGCTATGGCAGAAGAAAGAGCAGAGGCAAGCTTAAACGACATGGAGGTGAATAAGGAGTTTGTAAACACATCGAATATCAGCTCAGCCAAGATGAGTCTAGAAAATATTAAGAGTGATGCTAATCAAGAGACTGAAGAAGTGGAGAAGGTGCAACTAGAAGAAATATCCTCTGACTCGGCACCCAAAGTCCTAAGTAGCAACAACGATGAAGTAGAGGTAATCAAGAGAGATCCTGATGAGTTCTACACAGCTAAAGATCAGCCTGCTGAAGCTGAGAATGGCCTAAGTGCGCAAAAGGTGGATCAACTAAACCAGAATCATGAGCTCATAGGGACAAAGAGTGAACCCTTCAAGAAAAGCCTAACAGCAGAACTGGAAGCCGAAGAGGTTGAAGAAACTGAAGTAGTACCTGAAACATTGTCCGATCACACATCTCAAAGAGTTGAAACTATTCTCAAAGATGATGACAGTTTTACTAATACTTTTCCAGAAGAGAAATCGGAGGAGCAACTTCAAAGCTCTACTCAAACATTGTTTTCTGAGGATGAAGAGATGAGAACTGCACCCCCAATTGAGAAGATAGAAGAGATACAGGATGATGCTGGAATAAAACACAAGATTGGAGAAGGTTCTTTATACAAAAAGGCAACACAAGAGGTACTGCATCAGGAGGATAAAGTTCTTGCAGAAGATAACATTGACAATGCTTCTGCTCCAAATATCCTGTCAGAGAAGCCCGAGGAGCAAATTCAAAAGCCTTCTGTCACGTTGCCTTCCGAGGAGCATAAGCACAAAACAATCAATGATGTTGACAAAACTGAAGAAATGAAAAATGGAGACTCCCATGGAGAAGAGGCTGTAGAAGAGAAAAGCACAGAAAAGGATGAGACAAGGGAGCCTGAAGAAACATTGGAAGGTGAAACAAATACTTGTCAGGTTATGCCCAAGGAATCGGAGGAGCACAGAACTGTTACAGAAGAAACGAAAATAAGAGAAGCAGAATCATTTGAAGATGGGAAAATCACACAATCAGAGTGCACAAGAGAGCTTCAAGGTTCCATGGAAGATGGAGCAGCGGCAGTTCACATTCTCCCAGGTGAGACCTCAGCAGTTAACCTACATACTGCAGCCTCTACATTGCCTTCTGAGGTTGAAGGAAATGAAACAGAGGAAACAGAACCACAAGAAGATGAGAGTCTGGAGAAGATTCAAGAACAAACAAGAGAGATCGTGGAAGTGTTAAATTTCAACAAGGAGACATGTGGAATGGCTTCTGACAATCAATTACTCGCTGAAACTAAGGATGCTGCAAATGAAAAGAAAATTGTCATAACAAATGAAATCGCAGTAATCGAAGTTTTGAAAAAAGAGGTAAGCAAAACCAGCTCAAAACCTTAATAATTTCATGTATTTCCTTGCAATTAATTATCTTGAAAACTAATAAATAAGGGGGGCAAACTATCAAATCTCCATTTAATTGTTTCTCTTCATTTAAGTAACAGGCTTCTCAAGCCATCAACTAATGTATTAATTTTAAACAGATCGTTGAGCTGGCACCACCAGTTTTCGAAGAAAAGCACAAATCTGACTTGGAACCTGTGGCTGAAGACCAAAGCAAGGAAACACTCCCTGAACACACTAAAAGCCAAGATGACAAAACCAGAACTGATGTTCAGAACCAAGAGACTGAAGAACAGATAAAAGAGGAACTGAAAGACAAAGTGGAGGCTGAAGGCAGTATTGATGGAGAACAAAATAAGAATGAGGTCACCAAGGCTGTAATCTTGTCTGAAGAGGTAAAGAAAACTTGTAAATATTTTACCTATATGATTATTTAAGGAGATTTCTTATGTGATATGAAAAATATTAATATTAGCAGCTAGTAGATGGTAGCGAAGATATTAAAGCACATGTCATTGAGGAAGAAAGTAGCACAAATGAACTTCATCCAGTATCAGTAGACGAAAGAACTAATGAGGTTATATAAGTGATTCAAAATGAATAATTATATTCAAATAGCTCATTTTATAAGTCAAATGCTCGAACATTTTAATTATGTATTCACAGGTTGAAGACTACAGTGCAGTCTCAACTGAACATATCGAAGCAGCAGAATCTGAAGAGCAGATACAAGCTGAAAACTCGGAGGACGAGAAAAATTCAACCAGCAACAAAGAAGGACCACACATTACGAAAGAATTAGATGAAAGGAGACAGGATGAAGAGTCCGGAGACCCTGTAAATGTGCACAGTAAAAACAGAGAAGCAGAAGAAAAAGTTGAGATTGTCGACAACTTGAAACTCAATCAAGACAAGAGTCATAGTGAAGCTGTGACAGAAGAAACAGCAGAGACAAGCTTAAACGACACAGAGGTAAATAAGGAGCTCGTAAAAACATCAAATATCAGCTCAGCCAAGATGAGTCTAGCAAATATTGAGAGTGATGCTAATCAAGAGACTGAAGAAGTGGAGAAGGTGCAGATAGAAGAAAGATCCTCCGACTTGGCACCCGAAGTCCCAACTAACAACAATGATGAAGAAGTAATCCAGAGAGATCCAGATGTGTTTTACATGTCCGAAAATCAGATTGCTGAAGCTAATAATGGCACAACTGCAGAACTGGAAGATGATAAAGTTGAAATTGAAGGAGTACCTGAACCGTTGTCTGATAACATACCCCCCAGAGTTGAAACTATTCCCAAAGATGATAGTACTTCAGCTAATACTTTTCAGGAAGAGAAACCAGAGGAGCAACTTCAAAGGTCTCCCTACACATTGCTTTCCTTGCCAAATGAAGAACAAAGAGAACTTAAAGCAGTTCCAGAAGAAGAAACTATTGCTGACAAGGTTATTCCAAATGATGAACCAGAGGAGCAAATTCCAACTACATCTTCGACATTGCCTTCTGCAGAAAGGGAGCATGGAGCTGGAGCCATAAGTGAGGAGATAGAATATGTAAAAACAAAGGAAGAAGTAACCATAAATCTAGATGTCGTTACGGGAGCTGAAATAACTGGTAAGCAGACTCAAGAGACTAATAAACTGGAGGAGATTAAGAGTTATCCATTGGTTTCCCTGGAGAAGGAAGCAGATGTAAGCTCGGTTGAGCAGATAGAAGAGGAGAAATTAAGTGATACTGAAATTCCAGAGAAGATTTCAGAAAATCCTTTTGATGAAAAGAAAGCAGCAGAGACATGTTTGGAAAATGAAGCAATTAAGGAGCTTAATGATGCTAAGAATAACACTCAGGCTCTCCAAATGGAGGAATCAAATGAACAATTTTTTACTTCAGAACTGCCTGTTGAGAACCTAAAGCATAGAACTGAGACCAATGATGAAGAAGAGGTGAAGGAAGTGGAAATTCTTGAAAAGGAAGGACCTCAAGAGTCTGACGCTATTATCAATCAAGAAACCGTTGTTGTTCAGGCTTCAATAACTGAGGAGTCACAGAAGATTGAGCCAATAAGCACTTTTGAGAAGCTAGGGGAAGAAAAAAGGAAAGAAGCAGTAAAGGTTGAAGAAGAGAGTTGTGAAGACTCGTCAGCTGGAGAAACAAAAGAGCTAAACGAGTTTCATTTACTTACAAAAGAAGAAACTACGTCTTGTCTAGCTTTCTCAGAAGATCAATTTCATATTTTTTCATCCTCTGCTATAACTAGTGAAGAGTCGAAGCATGAAATGAAGGAGAAAGAAGATGAGAAAACAAGCAAAGGGGAAATCATAAAGTATGAGATAGAAGAGTATGCTTCAGATGCAAAGACAACAGTAGAGATATACTCACAGAAGGGCAGCTCTGTTGAGGTAGAAGCTGTTGCAGAAGATGAAATGATTGCTGATAGTGGAAATCATAAAGCTGAGAAGATAGAAAGCAAGAAAATGGAGGATGCAGAATTCTTACGAGATGATAGTGGAGAAGTTGCAATCTTGCAAAAGGAACTGCTTCAGGGGGATGAAACTCTTGTGGTAGAAAATAATGCTTCTTCACAGACCATCCCAAAAGAGAAACCTGAGGAGCAAATACCAAATCTGGTTGTTACATTGCCATCAGAGGAGCATAAGCAAGAAACCATCAATGAAGTTGACAAGACTGAAGAAGAGAAAATAAAGGAAGAAAGAATTAAAAATGGAGACTCTGAAAGAGTAAAGACAGTAGAAGAGCTAAGCACAGAAAAAGATCAGATAAAGGAGGCTGTAGCAGTGTTGAAAGAAGATGAGAGTCTCGAGAAGATACGAAAACAAACAGGAGAGATTGAAGAATCCTCAGATATCAACATGGAGATACATGAAAAGGCTCTCAACAGTGAATTACTCCATGAAACAGAAAATGCTGCAATCAAAGAGAATCTTCGCAAAGAAATTGATGAATCAGGTGGTGAAGCAAATCGGTTTGAGAAAATAAACGAAGGAAATGAAATCATACTGAATGAAGTTTCAAAAGAAGAGGTAAGAAATACTACCTCAAAACCTTAATAACTGCATGTATTTTGTATTCATTCTCCTTTGTATTGTCTTAACTCTTAACCGATTTGGCAAAATCGACAGGTTGCATCTCATTCAACTTACCAATGGGAAGAACCAACCAAAGATGGAGAAGATGCACTTAAGGATGAGCTTATTGAAGAAAAAACGTATGAAGAGGTTAGGAAACAGAAACTAAACTTTGTTCATCGTATTTGTTCTTGTTTTTCTATATCAATATTGAAGTTTCGATCAACAACAGCTAATTGTGGAAGCTCAAAAGACACGTGAAAACGAGATAACTGAAAAGCAGATTGAAGATGGAGTTGTTAAGAATCCAGGCCAAGATTCAGTTGTCAGGGCTGAAACCACAACAGTAACAGATCACGTTGAGAACATGGAGATGACAGGTTCAGTTGTCGAGGAACATGTTCTGGTAGATTTGCATGAAAGAGTTGTGGGATGCTCACAAAAGGCTGAAGTCAGAGATGTCAAAGAGACTTATCCGGAAGTAGTTGAACATGGTATAGGAAAAACATTAAATAAATCGGTGGAAGATTCAACTACGATATCCTCATCTGATGATGTTGAAAGCTTCAAGGAGACAACACACGAGAAAATGAGCAAAGTGGAAATCATAAAAGACAAGACTGAAGAAGATGCATCAGATACAAGGACAACAGTAGAGATATGCTCACAAATACAGACCTCTGTTAAACTAGAAGCTGTCACAGAAGATGAAATATCTTCAGGTCAGACTCTCACGGCAAATAAATCAGAAGGACAAATGCAGAATCCAAACTCTGCACCACATTCAAAGGAAGAGCAATGCGTAAGAGTAAGTATAGCTGAGGAGATCGAAAGTGAGAAAATGGAGGAAGTAGAATTCTTACATGATGATAATGATGTGACCTTACAAAGGGAACAGCTACAGGGAGATGAAGCTCTTGCAGTAGAAAATAACGATTCTTTACAGACTATCCCAACAGAGAAATCTGAGGAGCAAATTCCAAATCCTGTAGTCACATTGTCCTCAGAGAAGCATAAAAACGAAACTGTCAATGAAGTTGACAAACCTGAAGAAGAGAATATGAAGAAAGAAGAAATGAAAAGCAGAGACTTTGATGGAGGACAGACAGTAGAAGAGTTAAGCACAGAAAAGGATGAGACAAAGGGAGCTGCAGCCGTGTCAGAAGGTGAAATTAGTCGCCTTCATATTACAACCTGTGCATTGCCTTCTGATGTCAAAGGGGATGAAACAAATAAAACAGAATCGAACGAAAATGAGAGTCCAAAGAAAATTCCACAAGAAACAGGAGAGACCGAGGAAGCCTCAAATTTCAACGCAGAGATGCATGAAAACACTTCTGACAATGAAACAGAAGATGCTGCAATCAAAAAGAATATTGTCAAAGCAATTGATGCATCAGGAGGTGAGGAAAATCTGCACGAGAGAACAAATGAAGGAAATGAGATCATACTGAATGAAGTTTCAAAAGGCGAGGTACGCAATACAAGCTCGAAACCTTAATAATTGCACGCATCTCCCATTTTTTTTATAAGAAGAGGAGGCCTCGTAAAAAAACCCCTTCATGATTATTAAAACGCCCTAAGGAGTTTCATAATCATCGGAAGGAGGAAAAGAGTACCTCAAATTTTATTACTAAAAGATTAGTATATAGTATGTGAATACAACCAAGCTCACCTCCCTACAAAAGAAAACCAGTAAACCAAAAGAAAAACAGCCCAAACACCAACTCCCAATCTTAGCAATACCAGACTTTGCTAAACCGTCTGCCTCTACATTTGCTGGCCTAGCTACCCAACGAATAAAACCCTCCAAGTTTCTTAACCTATCAGCAATTTCCTTAGAAATAGTAACATACAAACTTGGACATTTATCCAAATTCTTAATCCACTCCACTGACGACTTACTATCACTCTCGATGATCAAACGTTTCTTGTAACACCAACGAGAAGATTCAAAGAAAATTAAACCCTGTTTAATGGCCTTTAATTCTATTAAAGGAGGACCCGGACCAGCAGCTTCTTGAAAAAAACCTAGTACTGAGCCAGCTTCATCTCTTAAAATCCCACCTGCTAACTGCTAACTAATTGGAAAAATCAAATTCATTCTCCTGTTTTTTGATAACTGCTAACTAATTGGGAAAAATCAACAGATCGTATCTTATTCGACTTCCCATTCAGAAGAGCTAACAAAAGATGCCTCCCAAGAAGATGCAGTTAAGGATGAACGAATTGAAAACAAGACAGATGAAGAGGCCAGAAAACTGAAACTAAACTTTGTTCATCTTTTTGTTCTTGTTTTTCAATTATATTGAAGCTTTGATTGGTAACAGGTCATCGTAGGAGCTCAAAAGACAAGTGAAAATGAGATGAATGAAAACCAAATTGAAGGTGAACAAGGCCAACCTTCAGTTGTTAGGATTGAAACCACAACAGTACGAACCCTCCTTTCAAAACTGTCTAATATTTTATGCAAACGAACCTGTAATAGGGAAATAAAACAGTTTGGTTTGATTTCATAAATCTGAACAGATCTTTGTTTCATCTTTAATCAGGAATCAAGCACAAAATTATCGGTGGCGGAAGGAAAGCAAATACTCGAATACATTCAGCAGACTAGGGAAATAACTAAGACGGCATCTGATATGCAGATTCCAAGGGATTTAGATCACATTGAGAACACGGGGATAACAAGTTTGATTAGAAAGGAGCATGTTCCAGTTGATTTGCAGGACAGAGTTGCAGGGTCCTCGCAAAAGGCTGAAGTCAGAGATGTCAAAGAGATCTACCCAGGAGGAATTGAATGCAGTGGAGAAATAGCAGCAAACTGTTTAGGTGAAGAAGTGGCTCAAGACATGATTGTGGGAGATACAAAAGACGAAACTACTGCTTCCCAAATTCTTCAAGCAGAGAAACCAGAGAAGCAATCTCCAGCTCCAGTGGAACAAGAAAGACTGAAGGAAGTGGAAACCCGAGATAAAAATACTTCCGACACAAAGACCAGAGGTGAGATATGCTTGGAAAAGGAAGAAAACAAGGAGCCAGAGACTGTTGTGGTGCAAGAAACTATAGTTATTCAGGCTCCACATACAAAGGTTAGATAGTACTAATTTAAACCAAATAGTATATTTTATGAACTCAACAACGGCTAACGCTCGGAGAAACATGACAGTTTAAGGAGGACCCAGTTTCTCATTTTGAAGATAGCAGCCACGAAGATGAACCTGCTGGAGATAAGACAAATGAAACCTTTAAAATCTCAACATATGAAATCCAAAATAAGGTTAGTTCCAGACATATGTAATCCTCTTGTTCTTTTCTTGTCTCTATCTTTTAATATTGAATCATATATTTTCAAACAGCCCTCTGCTGAAACTCAAAAGGACGATGCAGACAACAACATCCGGAAAGAGACCATTGCTGAAGACAAAATTGTGAAGGATGACATGAATGAATCCCCAGTAGTAAGAGAAGAGGTAAGAATACAATCTAGTACGAAAAGTGAGAGCACATTACGATTAGAAGGCATTGAAACAACTTGAAGCTTTATCTACATTAAGATAGCTTTAAAAAGAAGTCTTTAATTATTTATCACCTGGTCCCTTGACCTTTTTCAAGGTCCATTAATGGGGCCTAAACATAAGTCATTATGTAACATACTATGTCTAGCTTATTAGATATATCACTAATGTAACAGTTGACAAACAGATTCCAGGGAAGGAAGACCCCATTGACTGCAAAAAGACAATAAATTCAACTGGCAAGCAACAGTTTCTGACAGAACAGCAGGATGAAGCTTTTGGAACCGCAGGCAAAGCTTTAGTTGGAGATTTGGAACCTGGTACTGCTCAAGAGACATGTTCAGAATCAGCAGATTCTGCTAAGCTATTATTATATGACCTACTCCAAAGATCCACAAGAGAAACAATACAAGGAGATAAAAATGTGATTGAAGAAAGGGAACTAAAGGTAAGCAATGAAGAACCACCTGAGGAAGAAGCAAAAACAGATGAAGAAGGCGAGGGAGGTGAAAAGAGTAAGAAGGAGTCTGGCATTAAACAACATAAGAAATCTAATAACATACTATCAGGGGTTGGATCAAAAGTGAAGCATTCAATTTCCAAGATGAAGAAAGCAATCACTGGTAAATCATCTCATTCAAAAGCATCGAAACCAATATCACCAAAGGAAAGCAAGAAATGAAGATGGTGTGATGGTGTTAGTCAACAAATAACCACATATTCTCAGGTGATTTTTCGATGTAAAGTTTGTTTAAGTCGAATGTTTTATGGGCACTGTATTGTTTGTTTAAGCTTGGTGTGTTTTTGCTGCAAATTGGGAAAAGTGGTTTCAGTTTTCTTTCTGATAAAAATACTTGGATAATTTCATGATTGTCAAATGGAGTATTACAAAGTTGTGGTATCTCTTAGCTAGATATAATCACACGTATACAGATTTGTTTGTTCATCAAAGACTTCTAAAGACATTAAAATTCCAAATCCAAACTTAAAAATTACAAGCTCGTACATCTAAAATCAAGTAACAAACCTGTAAGGAGCAGTTTTAGTATCTGTCTTCAACTCAATTGTGAATGTCCAATACAGATGTGTCAAACAATGGTATGATCAAAGTTCAATATGTTCTTCCATGTATTTGAGTCCGATCTAGCTCAACTTTGGAATAATTGGTGCCCAATGTGATACCGGATATTGGGATCTTAGGGAAGAAAAAAACATTGGAATGTGAAAAACAAGAAATTTGTGATTGAAGATAAACACCCTACAAGCACACTCCAAAGAGAGAAACATTTAAACCAAGAGATTATATAAGTTGGCTAAATTAAATTTAACATTCCCATAACACATAATACAGCCCTGAAATTGAACCATGCTTCACTAGAACTTAATAAGCAAAGAACATCCTTTATTTCCTTGCTTGCAATTGCCTCTGAAAATTGCAAACAAATTCCCTGAGAATTGGGATTCATTGACTTGAAAAGGAACTCCAAATAGAAATGCCAAATGAGAGTCTTTAATTATACTCTTAAACTCACCATTTCGATCTTTCAACAGCTAAAATCAAGCGTTGTTATATAAAAGAAATTCAAAGAGAAAATGAAATCAATTGGAATTAATTAAGCAAACTAACAACTAATATTAACCATTCCAAGCACCTTCAAAAGAAAGTACATATCAAACTTTATAAGTTTCAGTAGCATTTAAAAATAACCAAAATTGTTCAACAATAAAAATACAAAATTCAAAACCTGCCAAAGGAAAAAATAACAAACTTAAGACAACGAAAACCCACCACTTAAAACCTCCTTCTGGGTCCATCACCTCGACCATACCCAACTTGAGAAACCACAGAAACTGGGTCAACCTTAACAAGTCGAGGAATATCAGCCATCCCAAGAACCGAAAGCATATCCAGAGTTTCTTTATCAACTTCTATTTGATCAACCTAAATTGCCGATTCATCGGGAACGAAATCCATGCTCGCTCGCGCTCTTCTTGTAGCTCAGCGAAATGCCGCGAGAAACCGGCGATCTTGTTTCGGAGTAATACCGCTCGATAACCTGACGAGACGATTTCTTCACCGTCTTCGTACGGACGCGGCCCATTGTTTGGATCGGAGGAGGAGGCGGGCGGGCGGGCGGCTAAAGTTTCTGCTGTGAGGAAACGTAGAAAGTGAATGTAATGGGTTAGTGTTGGATGCAGAAAAACCTATTCACCGCCAACGCTAGAATTAAATGCATGACCCTAATCTTCCAAATTAATCGGACGAGATTTTAGAACAAGAGGACATTAAAAAAAGTCCAAATTTAAATCCCTTTTTGTTATGTTTTTAGAAAGAGATTTTGGACATGTTTCATTAAATTCCAAAGTTTGATACCAAAAGTTCCATCAAATTTACAAGCAGATCAGTTCCTTCCACTTCAATGAAAAATCTAATTATGTTATCGCCAGATAAATATACAGTAGAAACTCTTTAAATTAATACACGGTAAATTAATAAGCTCTCTAAAATAATAAATTTGTCTGGTCCCGACTTGGGCCAATGTAAAAAATTAAAAAACTCGATAAAATAATAAGATAATAATTTTTCGTGAGATCCCTTTATTATTTTCGGTCTCAAGAAAATCATAAATTAATAATTCATAGAAACTGAAAAAAAATATATTACACTCTATTGAAATATGATTCAATAGTTGTATGTTTTCCTTTAAAGTTCAAGTCTATTTGGAGCTCATTATTAATTTAACTCATCTCTTGCAACGTAATTCTAAGAGGCATAGACTAATTTGCCTTTTTGTTTGGTATGTACAATATAATTACTTAAAAACTCTTTAAATTAATAATTATTAATTTATCGATAAATTAATAACTCTCTAAATTAATAAATTTATCTGGTCCTGACATTATTAATTTATAGAGTTTTAACTGTAATGGGTCAAAACTTGCAAAACACACTGAACCAAATTTAGGATTTGTTTCCAGCTAAAGCTTGAGTTCCTATGAATGTTTAAATTTGCATATATATTGTTGATAATTATTTCTTGTTGTTAATTTGATATTATTGATTTGGTTCACTTATTTTCGTATAAGAAATTATTTTCCAGAACCAACATGAATTCTGCATTTTTTTTTTTTGAAATCATGATTGAAGATATAGGTACAACTTGGGACACGACGTAGCAAAATCCGATGATGCAATCAGCAGCAACAGTGTTTATGAGGCCCAGTCAGCATAATCTATAAGAAGGATGAGCTGAATTATTTAGGAGTTCAAGTTTGAAAAAATTACCCTCTTGACTCCTCTCAACATCTCGAAGCCAAATCTAACCTCCAAATATCAAGAAAACGCCCTGATCTGTGTGGATCTAACACTAAAAGTTTTGACTTTTACATTTCCCGACGACGACCTTTCGAGTTCCGGCAGCCGTTCCTTCTCCAAGCCAAAATCAGAGCTATTTCTTTCTTGGTTTCTTTGTGATTTCTTGTGGTATTCGAATAGCTAATCATTGGTTCCTTTTTCTCGGTTTTGTAGGTGGCTATTATAACTTCGAATTGGGAATATTTTTCCCTTGAATCTTGCATGAATAAGAAATTTTTTTCCTCTTTCGATTCGGTTTGCATCGAAAATTTTGGGAAAGGATTGTTTCCTTTCCTTTCTTGATTTGGTTGACCAAAATCAGCTATTTCTTTCTTGGTTTCTTTGTGATTTCTTTGGTATTCGAATAGCTATCATTGGTTCCTTTTTCTCGGTTTTGTAGGTGGCTATTATAACTTCGAATTGGGAATATTTTTCCCTTGAATCTTGCATGAATAAGAAATTTTTTTCCTCTTTCGATTCGGTTTGCATCGAAAATTTTTGGGAAAGGATTGTTTCCTTTCCTTTCTTGATTTGGTTGACCTTTGTTGATTTTAATTCGGTTTCCATTTTGGGTTTGATCTTTGTTTCCAAAATGGTTTGAAATGTTCAGAAAATGGGTCTCGATTTGGCACGTGATACAACGTGTTGAGTCGTTTCGTCGGCGAGTGATCTTCACGCGTCACTTTTTTGCTTATCGATGACCTTTGGATCTCCTGGAGCATTTTCGATCGTTGGATCAAAGGGCCAAATCTAACGGCTATGGTTGATGCAGCACTCATGCTAAACTCAAAACCCTAATAGACCTCCTTTCCAACTGAGCTTGCTTGATGGGTCAGGCCTACTTGCTTGATTGTGTATTTATTTGGACCTCAACATTGTCTTGGATCATTGCTGGACTTGGACAAGATTTAAACCTAAAAAATACCAAAACCAAAATAATATTAATATTGTAAAAAAAATAATAATATTATAATACTAATATAATAATAATAATAATAATATAATATTATAAAATATACTATACTTATAATATATATTACCATATATAAGTATGATAAAATACTAAATATATAATATAATATAATATAATATAATATAATATATACTATATATTATATACTATACTATATAATATAAAATATAATCTAAATAAAAGTTTCAGACAAAAATAAGTGTCTACAATTATTTTCATAATTTATCTTTTAGATATTTTATTTTAAATATTTTATTTTATTTTTTATAATTCTCTATGCTATAAATACCATCTTAGGGTGAAGCTTGAGAAGGTACCTTCGACTCAATTCCTATTGTGATAATTGAAAAACACTTTTAACATATTCGGATAATATTTTCGATTTTCTAAAATCTTGATTTGGCAATCGACATTATCTTTAAAGATGTTTGGATTTACAGCTTGGGAGGAAGAATCAGTTGATCATAATTCAACTTTCTATGAACAAACTTAGTGGCAGTCCGCTAAGATGAATCGAGATCAAGTTTGACTCTCATTGGGACACCATAATCTGAGCATGGATTTTTCCAACGTTTAAAGTTGCATTGGAACTAATAGCAATAGCCGTGGTTAGTTTAAGTAAGGACTAAATTTCATAGATTAATTTGAGAATATTGATTTACCAAAGAGAGAAAATAAGTTACAAGAGTTGAACTTTGTAGACTATAACCGGCATATATTCAGAGTAAAATCTCTTTCGATGATCAATCAGAATTAAGGCAAAACGACGCTTGAGACTATTTTCATCTTATTAATTTTTTTTCAAAGATATACCTTGTTTTATTTCTTTACCATCATATTTCAAATCTTGATTTCTCTTTCTTTTGATTTCATCACCCCTTTTTTCTTTTCAAACAAGATCAAATCAATTTAAAATTGGAAGCTCGTTAGTCTCGGCGTATCGCATTCTTTTCTTTACTACGCTTATTTCATTTGACAGTTAGCTTGTTATGTTACCGATACAAGAAGCACTCTTACTCTACCTTTGAATTAGGGTTAGGGAAATGAAAATAAATAAAAGGAAAACAAGTTTCCTATAACGAATTTTTTTAACATTTTCTTCATCACAATAGGCTCCAACATTTTGGTTCAATGGCAGCTTCAGAACAAGGAAATAGGGGACCTAGCTTGTTTGTTTTTTTAATCATCTCAAACCATAACTTCAACAAAAATTTTGCCAGATTACAACAATTGCAGGCAATGTTCAACTTAGAATAAATAATAACTTAAACTAGCTTTGTAATCAAGCAATATTACAGATTGAAAAATACTCAAGAAAGTTGAGTTTTTTTATGCTTCTTCTCTGATTTCTGAGCTGCTTCAATATTCCTCTTCCGCTCCTTGAGTTTCTCAACATGATCCTTCTTCCGCTGCTTGCCAATCTGATCAAAGAGAAATGCGATCAAGTCAAAAACGAAGATGACATCATAAATGATGCACAAAGATTTTTAGGTGTTATACAGCAACTTTAACCTATGTTACCCGGACTCTTATTTTTTTCTTAAAGTACGCATTCAACACATCTTCAAACAAGTTACCCATGTTAGATGCCATACCATATCCAACACTAGTCTGGTCCAAATAACATGAACTTTAACCATCATCCCCTCTCATCCTTATTCTTTTCTCCAAATTAGATAATCTCTAAAAAGAGTTGACTATTGTTCACTGGGAACTACTATGATGGAATCAATGTTAAATAAATCTCTGCTGGCCGACTTTCAAATCAAAAGGTAAACCATAATAAAACTATGATAAGAGTGAATGCCAGGCCTATTAAGCTGTGACAAAAAGTCTATTATAAAGGCCAATGAAGTTACCTCGATGGCTTTAGCAAGCCCCCTCTTTCTACGTGACATCATGAGTCCCGACGGATCCTCGGGATTTGGTTCTACATCAGGAAGGGATTGTTCCTTAGACTCGGTGTTCTCGGAGTTCTGCTTATTTATACTTGAGACACCTTGAAGTTCCCTTTTCAATTCATCATGATACTGCTTCTCTAGAAGCATCATCTGCAACCAATGAAACACTTACAGTCAGTTGGGGCAAACATGAACTTCATTGGAATTTCTCATGTAAACAATACATTTTTTAAATCTCTATTGTGTATCAGGCTTCCCGTAACTCCACCACTACATACCTGTCGTTTCTTCTCAGCAGCTTCCATAGCCTCTGTTCTATTGATAAATCCTTCAGCCAGCAAAATTTTAGAGCTATCCAAGTCATCATTTCCCATACCAGGCAAAGGTTTAACATCACTTTTCACAGAAGCCTGTAGCTGTTTAATGGTCTTCGCATAATCAGGAACATAACCTTCAGCCTCATCATCGACAAAAGGCGAAAGATGTGGTGGAGGGTCCCTATTTGCAAGAAAAAAGCAATATCAAACACTGATAACGAGAGCAGGTCATCCGTTGAATCATTACAAAAGCAAAGAGGTATAACACTTGGTAATGAAAAGATATTTCATGAGTTGGTTCCCAAAATTTACCTCCCAACCATATATGGTTCAGTTGGCAAGATGACCCGTGCATTTACACAGTCAAAAACCCACTGTGGTTGAACATATTCTCTTGAAAGGTATACATGTCCTTGTGTAGGTCTGTCCACAATCTACACAGACAAAAGCAACAAGTAAAAATTGAAATCTCCAAAACCAAAATTCCCAGGTATCTACAAATGTCACATATGGTCTGTTTATTAGCACACCTGATGAGTAATGCTATCATCATTTTCAGAAAACGGGGCTCCATCTCCTTCCCAAGAAACAATACCTCCAAAAGCAGGAATGACGAAAAGCAAGGACTCTCTCGGAACCTAAACACGGAGACATTAGGAACTATCCCAACACAAATGAACTAACATAAAGAAAGAAATGGAATCTACAAATTGTACTTCTATTCTCATGTTCATCAAATTGATGAACAAAATGGAAGCAATCTTGTAATTGACATAAAATTCTTAGCAAGGAAGAATTAAACAAACCTCACGACTCAAGAAAAACTTCTTGTTTCGAAAAAGATTTTTACAGTCCCTGGTAGCTTCATCTTCTTCAATTTCACCAGATGCATCTTGAACAAGGTGCATCAGTGCACCAGGTTCATTGGCAGGCAGTTGATGCTGAAGTTGTGCAAGTCTTATGTTAGACTCCTCCTGCTCTTGATCCAATCTAGATGAACCATCAAATTGAAGTTCTTGAACAGAAGTTCTGTAGTTAGCATCAAAATACCTTGATAATGCATAGAGATCTGCAGTATTCAGAAACAGAGCACACCATCATTGACAGCCAGGAGGAAGAAATTTACAAGAATTATTCAGTCACCACTCAAAAATGAATTTAGAAAGATTGTGAAAGTTTTATACTTTAATTACAAAACATTAAGCAACAAAGCAAACCTGCAGCAAGAGCTTCCAACCGAGGATCCAGAATAGGAGGATACTTCACATTTATGGAATGATAAAGTTGAAAAATGACAAAGCCAAGAAGTGTCTGCACCCAAAATAAATACACGCCGTCAAGGAAGAAACTAGCAGTCCGAGATAACATATTTGGGGATAAAGCAGCTTGAAACAATTTACAAAAACTTAATTATGAAAGTAGCAAGGTAATACTGGAGGAAGACTTAAAAAATAATATAAAAGAAACAGTTCCTATATTCATGTCATGCTTGGCTAAAGTTTATTTTACCCTGGTTTCTCAGATATTATGACACACGTTCCACCTTTCTGACCATAAATCAATAATAAAAGACCCCGTATCCTTCAGATACAAACTTGGATGGGAGAGAGAGAGAGATCGAACCTCATAAAACTCCAAAAATGTTAACATGACATTGAAGTCAATATCATCAGTCAATACTTGTTGACGTGCATGCGGCGCTAACCATGTGATTTTTTGACCATCAACCTCAGCCTGCACAGGAAAGAGGGTAATCTTAAGAAATATGCATAATAGCACAGTAGAAAGAAAGTCTTATATCCAAACAGAAACATAATTAACAACATAATGGTGTAGTACCTGGTAATATATACCCTTTACAGCCACAAAAACCTTCCGTAATTTATGGGTACGAGAAATGTATGCTTGCCATTCATGACACAACCTGACAAAGGACCAAGAATAGAAAGATGCAACTGGTAAGACTATAGAAGGTAACAATAAACCTATACGGTCTTGCCTCTTTTCTCACTTAAAAAAATGTCAACCTTCGACAATTATGAATGCGCTTCACTTCAATTTTAAGTCTATCAATGGCAGGCAACATTGCAAACAGGTGCACCATTGTAAGAGGATCATCCAAATCTCTAAGTGCATCAATAAACGTGGGATACCTAAAATACCAAGCATATGTTAGATACTCAAGAATATTTACAAATGATGGGAAATAAAAAGCTCAAATATTGCTTAAGAAACCTATCACGGATGACCATGTCAAGCTTGTAAGAAGGTGCACGAGATATAAGAAGCTTTGCTAGCTCATCATTCTTTTTGGCCTTAGCTTTCTTTATCTTCTTTTTATATGCCCTTATTTCTCTATGCTTCTCCAGTAACGGATCATGAAGAATGTACATGACATCCTTCAAGTGATAGTAAGTATGATGGTTTCCTTTCACCTTCTTCTTTGGCTCCCTCGGGAAGACTCCTTTGTGAATGCATAACTTCCTGCAATATTGAATCTATCAAAACAGAACGATGCAAACCATATTCAAACGCAAAATAATACACCCCACCGAAACAACTCCAGATCTTCTCTTATTCCACAAATGTATCCTGTGATTGATACTTTTTTCGCTATTTTCTTACTACATCGTCGAAGTTTGATAAAAAGAAAACATTTTCAATTAAAAAAAGCAAAAAGATAAAAATGTAGCTTAACATAAAACGAAGTAGTAAACTCATACTGAAGTAAAATCATAATAATAAGGTTAAAACTTCTAAAATATTTTCAAACATACTACTTTTCACTTCAGTCAGCGAAAGACAGGTAGCGGGACTAGTAATCAAATGCTACCTGATGAACTAATCCCAGCTTAATGAAGCTCATTAGTTCCGAATTCTTAGCTACTTAATCTAAGAAGCTATAGATAATAAGAAAATGAATGAACCTGAAATCCGATAGGCTAACTTGAAGGATCTTAATAGCTTGTGACCTCGTCACATATCTCGCAGCATTACCTTCCTTTTTCTTTCCCTGTAAAATTTCACCATAACTTGTGAGAAAAAAAATCCATCGAACAAGTCTAAATATTGAAAAATTAAATTGTTAAATTGAATGTTAAAGTTTAAGAATAACTTGCCGGAGGACGGTAGTGCTTTGGTTTCCCCATAGAAAAGAGAAGTGAGAAACAGAGAACCGAGAAGGCGGGGGGGGGGCCGAAGAGGCGCAAACAGGCAGAAGAAAAATATTAGGGTTTAAAGCTTGTCTAAATATTGGAATTTAAGAACTATGACGGCGATCCGGGTCGGATTCCGTTTCATGGGCTTAGGTTTATTTGCAAACGGATTGTAATATGTGACCCAAACAGTTTTAAGGGTAAACTAAATAAATGAGTCCCTAAATTTTAGGTCTCTTGTAATTTTGTCATTAAACTTTAAAAGTTATATGATCATAATTTTTTTACATAAAATGTAGTTTGCTTCCATTAACCATGAATGACATCTGCCATAAGTACATCAGTTATAGAAGGGGGAAATCATAATATAAAAACAACAGAGAAAGTAAAGACAAAGCAAACTAAGCTAAATTGTGGGTTGTCGAATTTGTTGATCTACGAATGCCATGAACCTTGATGTGAGGATGCTCCCAAAGCAGGCGACGAGCCTCGATTAAATGGAAATTGGTGATAGGCATATCAAGTTGTGTTAGGGTCAGATGTCGAACAACATTTAGTGCATCACTCTCAATGGAAACCAAGAAAACATGTAAATCAATGGCCATTTGAATCTCATACCGAAGTGCTTCAGCCTCAATTACGATGACATTACAAGGACTAGAGAATGGAGAGGCATGACAAACAAAATTTTTGGTGGAAGCTTAAAAAAAAATAAAGATTGAACACAATAATTTTAGAGTGGTTCGACTTTCTAAATCAAAGTCTATATCAACTACCTTAGTTATTCATACTAAGGATTTCCACAAATTCACTAATTTGTATTAACCTTTGAGGACAAGGTGTAACCTTACAAGTGCCTCAATAATTATACCTCAAATTCTTGAGACACTCTCTCAAAGAGAAAATTACAAATTTGCAAACTTAGAAATATTATTTGCACAATTCAAGTACAAATAAGAACACTTGACAAATAAAACAAAAGAGTACAAAAGTGTTCTTTGAAAGCAAATAGAATATTGACTTGATTTGGGCTCAATGTGATTGTTTTAGTTTTCTTATGATCACTTGTATTCACATATGACTTGAAATCTTGTTTTTATACCTCCTTCATTCAATTTTAGATGTTTTTGTTATTGTGGGAGTTAATAGAGCTATTGGGATGAAATTCTCGCAATAAATATAGCCCAAACACCTTGAGTACCAGTACTCGTGTTTGGAGTATCGGTATTGCATGCATTAAATACAAAAATCTAATCGTTGGTGAGAGGAGAGTATTGGTATTCCACTTAGAGTATCGATACCAAAATAGCCTACTGGAATTGGTGATTGTCAAAAATATAAAGGGAGTATCGGTACTGCTATGCATTTGTACACTGTTAGAATCGATACCACATGAATAGTATCGGTACTGTTCTTGCAGTATCGGTACTACATGATTAAAAATTAATTTTTTACTCGATTAAAATTTGAAACTCTTTGTAAAAATGTTTGAAAATTAATTATAATATTTGACTTGAATTTTCAAAAGAGTAAGGAGTAAAAATGTAGTTTTGACCTTAAAAAGAATTTACATATTCAAACGATTGAATCAAATATAAACTTGAAAACTGAATCGAAAATAATCTTAAAATTTCTTTAAAATATTTATTTTTGGTATATCAAAACATCAAAGCATAGTTCAATAATCTCCCCTTTTTGCTATAACAAAACCTTTGAAAAATTTTAAGATTTTTAAAATTTTCTTGAAAATTAATACTCTCCCCTTTTTGTTAAATCAAAAAACTTAAACAAGACATAAAAACTAAGATGAGAATATCAAATATGTCAAAAGAGGTTAGTCAACATAAATTATATCTTTAAGCAATAAACATGGTCATAAAAAATATCATGTCTCAAAATATAAAATATCATAAATATCCAAATATCATAAACCATAATAAGCATCCAAATAACATAAATAAAAACATCTGATAACACAAAATATCCAAATCCAAAGATAACCAAATATCCAAATCCCAAAAGAAAACCATCTAAATAATCAAAATAAAAGTCACAAGTCTAGTCCAAATGCAACCTACAACACACTAGCAATCAATCATCTAAGGATGAAGGAGGTGGAGAGATATCTGATGACGAGGTACGAAAAGACAAGAAGTCACGAGCAAAAGCCTCAACTCTACTCGACATCGTGTCAATCCGCTCTATCAAAGTATCAAACCGAGCGTGATAGTCATGCCTTGAATCCATATACAACGACTATAGGGAGAGTTGCTGGGAGGACAACACTGAGACATGAGACTCTATCGCCAACTATCTAGAAGCGATCTCCGAAACCTAAGTCCCCAAAACTATAAAGTAAGACTCTATGGTAGCAAATTGCATACCCATAGTCTACATGAAAGTCTTAAAATAATGAGGCGTCACACTCGCATCCTTACCACCGACTCGAGGGGGATCGATAAGAACGCAGTTCACTAGATCATCGACATCGCATATCGGATCATCATCCCTGAGGCTAAGGTGCACTAGAGGTAGAACCAGCTGCTTGCTTCCATTATCTTGTCCAATTCATGCCAAGCTTTTCCCATTCTGATTTACGAAGAGATTTAAGGTCAATGTAGGAGAACAAGGGAATAGCGGATCTTATTCGAAATTTATACTGGCTTTGACAAAGAGATGGATAAGGAGACAACCATACACTAAGGTATCAAATTTCTTAGATTGAAAGTTATTGTCAACAAGATCACCAAAGACTATTTGGAGAAAATTGATTTGTTTGTTATTTTGGAAACAATGAATCCACCAAAGGTCTACGATACGAATGATAGAGAATTTACCTCAGGATAGTCGAAACCAGAAAAAGATAATAAGATGCAAGAAATGATCATGAATATCTAAGGTATTGACACTATGGCCCACCAAATAAGGGGAATCTACATGTTCTTTCTCGTTATCAATACCTTTAACCTCTAGACCTAAGTCTAGGGCTATGGAAGCGACATCTATGTGAATGTATTGCCCCATAAGATAGGAGTAAATACTAACGGTGAAACTTTGAGCTTCATAAAAAAACACAAACAATATTTGAATAGAAAATGTGAACAAGTTGTTGGTAGACAATATGTTCGATTTTAAAAGTCTTGTCTAATTTCCATGATTTGGAATTTTAAAAGATGTTTAAAGTTAAGATCATTCATGGTGGAAAGGGAAGGCATGCACTCACTCATAAGAGATAAAGTCTCAAAGAATTGTGTGTATCTATGCCAAAGTTTTTGGCGACCAAGTTTATTAAAACAAGAGTTTTGGATAGCGAGTTCATTTGGATTTTAAACGTGGTTAGGAATAGGATTTAGAGGTGGATTTTGAGAAGGAAGTGCTCGGGGAGGGGGATGAGCATGGGAAGTACATGGTCGTATTGACATTTTTGGGATAAAAATCGGTATAAACAAACCTACAAAATGAAATAATGTACATATATGCTAGCATCAAATTTCAAATCCCAACGATCATAAACTAATCAAGGTTAAAACATGAAAGTATAAGGTATAAATGTGATATATATTTGGTAAAGAAATTTGTATATATATATAACAACAAATAAAAAAATATAACATGTATAAAAATTTTGAAACAAATACACACATATATATTATTTTAAAAATTGAAATAAAAAATATGAAATTAAGGAGATTAATAGTTAAAAATAGTAGATATTGAAGCAAAAATACAATATAAACAATGCTCATAAGCTAATTTAACTTAAACTAATGAAAAACAAGCCTAAATTCGAAAAGAAAAGAAAGTAAGGGTTTTTAAAAATTTACCTTGATTTTTTGAAATGAGACAAAATGAGATGAATACAACATTAATTTGATGTTTATCTCGAATTCACCTTGCAACCGGACTAGGTAATGGTATTTGTCCACTAAACACAATAGAAGTTGAAACAATTTTACATGTTTTCGGGATTCTTCCTTCATGAAGGACGTTATTTGAGTGGCAGGTATATCAGGTGTGTTTATTAATTCAACTTCTACATCACCACTATTATGGTTGAAATCCGCACTTGCTAGGCTTGGGTTAGATGATTTTGTAGGATTATTGGTTCTCCTTTAGAATGCGTGGAATGGAAGAAATTCACTGGTGCATGATGGGAGGTTTCAACCTACTTGGGTGCTCGTTGCCAATGCCAGTGTGTCATCATGATTTTCCAACATGCCCTTTGTTTCTTATTCATTCCAGTGGAGACCACCAGATGAGCAGGTGATTAAGTTAAATGTAGATGATGCTTACAATCCAAATGCCAAGGTTGCAGCGGTGGGTGTTATTGCTTGAGACGTATCTCGATCTGTCCTTGGTGGTTTAACTACTACGTCGGTGGGTATTTATGAACCAGGACTAACCGAAATGCATAGTCTTGCTATGTCGGTTAACCTTGCAACAGAGGAAGACTGGCAGGACATTATTATTGAGTTGGACTCCACTACAATTGTCAACCTTTACGATGATGCAGATGGAGATAATTCCACAAGCGGTGCTCATATGCAAGTTATACATGAGAAGTGTACTACTTTTAATATTTGTATTGTGACATATATTCGTAGGGAGACAAAAAAGGTCACTCGTAAATTAACTCAAAGAGCCCTTGATTGTTATGCTTCCTACTTCTTTGAGTCAGTTATTCCACAGTTTATTACTCAAGATGTAAAACATGATTTGTTACCTGATTGGTTAATGGAACTTTGGGCACTATTTTCCCCTTATAGGTACCCAACCTTGTGTTGGTAGAAGGGTTCTTAATGAGGCCGTTTTCTTTAGAAAAAAAATTCGTCTTGTATCAACTTAGCAAGTTATTGGCAAAGATTATCATTAGTATATCAAAAAATATTATCATCAACATAAACTTAAACTACTAATAAATATTTACCTTTACTTTTTATAAATAATGTAGTGTCAATCTTCCCTTTTGAAAAACCTTTTTCAACAATAAAAATTGATAATCTTTCATACCAAGCTCTAAGAGCTTGTTTTAAACCATACCAAGATTTTGTCAACTTAAAAAT